TCCTTTTTTTGAACGGAAGAAAATCCAATTTTTCTCTGTTAAAAAAATGGAACGGACAAAAAACAGATGTAAACGGTGGAAAAAATGGATGTAAACGGACAAAAAGTGGATGTAAATGGATGTAAACGGACAAAAAAACGGATGAAAACAGATGTAAATGGACAAAAAAACGGATGAAAAAGGGATGTAAACTGATGAAAAACTGATATGAACTGATGAAAAACTGATGAGAGCTGATGAAAAACTGATGTGAACGGATCCGTTTTTTTCTTAGAAAAAACGTGACTGAACTGATTAATAAAATGGAACATCTATGTGAAAGGGGCCATAGGGTTTACTTCCATTCAAAAAAATGGACGTTAATGGACGTTATGGCTAGTCCATAGAAATACATAGGTGTCCGTTTTTCATCTGTAAATGGCCAGATGAAAAAGGGACATACGGAACGCCCATGTGAAAGGGGCCTAACTGTCCCATTTGCAAGTGTGAATGAAATTTAAAAAGAAAACCCTTGTTATATCCCCCAAGGGAACCAGTGCACATAGTACTTGGCCCTGTACAAATCTGTGCAGTGGTTGCTGAGCTTGGTTGTGCAGAGGTTGTCAGACAGCTACCCCACCATAGGTGTCTGACCATGCCGGATGAGGAAGATAAATCTATTATTAGCTCTGACTGACAAAGCAGGAGGAAAAGGGATGGTACACACAGTGCACACAAAGTCCGTACAAAACCTCTGCCCCTGCCTCCTCCTAAACGAACATCTGCAGCCCTCCATCTAATCCAGCAGCCTTGTGCCTCCTCTTCTCTGCAACCCTCTTTGTACTTAAAAGAAAGAGCTACTAAGACCAGACCCACCAGTCCAGAAGCCACCTGCTATTTTGGGGGAAAGAGACAACTATAGTAACTGTTGGCTTGTGTTGTTGTGAATGACCGCACTGTAGGGGAACACAGTCATTCACAGAAAACAAGCCCACAATAACAATAACACACACCAGCTACTACACTAATCTCACTGGCAAACAGTTACAACTGTACTCCCTCTTCTCGGAATTACCAGGTGGCTGGTTGGTGGGTCTGAGCTCTCTTCAGTGCAAAGAAGGTTATTAATATTATATTGTACAGGATTTATATAGCGCCAACAGTTTGCGCAGCACTTTACAAAATGTAGGTAGAGTGCAGAATAGAAATGAAGAGGGAGCACAGGGTTGTACAATTAGGCTTTCTATCCCTCATGGGAATATCCATAAATTTGGCTGCAGCACGGGGTGAAACTACAACACAACACATACAGAAAAAAAATTTCAGTTTATATAAAAAAAATACTACACAGATTTGATCAGAGCCAAGTGCTATGTGCATTGGGTCGCCTGGGGAATTCAACAAGGTTTTTAAGCTTCTTTTTTAATTTTTGGAGGAACTGCCATGTCCAGATTTATGGGGGAATTTTGGTTTTACAGTTGCAAGAAAAACTATGTGAACCCCTTGGGATTACGTGGAGTTTTTTGCATGAATTGGGCATAAAATGTGCTCTGAACGTCATCTAAGTCACAACAATAGAAGAACACAGTCTGCTGAACATAATACTACACCAACATTAGATGTTGCCACGGTTTAATTGCACATAACATGTAAACATTCATAGTGCAGGGAGGAAAAAGTATGTGAATCTTTGGACTTAATAACTGGTTGACCCTCCTTTGGCAGCAGTAACCTCAACCAAACATTTCCTGTAGTTGCAGATCAGACCTGCACAACGATCTGGAGTAATTTTGGACCACTCCTCTTCACAAAACTGTTTCGGTGTAGCAATATTCTTGGGATGTCTGGTGTGAATCGCTCTCTTAAGGTCATGCCACAGCATTTCAATCAGGTTGAGGTCAGGACTCTGATTGGGCCACTCCAGAAGGCGTATTCTGTGCTGTTGCAGCCATTGTTTTGTTGAATTACTTGTATGCTTTGGGTCATTGTGCTGTTGCATCACCCATCCTCTGCGGAGCTTCAGTTGGCGGACAGATGGTCGTACGTTTTCCTGCAAAATGTCTTGATAAACTCTGGAATTCATTTTCCCATCAATGACAACAATCCGTCCAGGCCCTGAGGCAGCAAAGCAGCCCCAAACCATGATGCTCCCTCCGACAGTTTGTCTTACCGTGGACACATGAACATCAAGGCTTTTGGAGATACTTTTGTAACCCTTTCCAGCTTCATGCAAGTCAACAATTCTTGATCGTAGGTCTTCTGAGAGCTCTTTTCTGCGAGGCATGGTTCACATCAGACAGTGCTTCTTGAAACCAGTAAACCCAAAACAGGTGTGTGTTTTTTAAGGGCAGGACAGCTGTCAGCAACATATCCAATATCATCACACTGATTGGAGTCAAGTTTGGCTAACTCCTAGCTCCAATTAGCTCTAGGAGAAGTCATTAAGCTAGGGCCTCACATACTTTTTCCTCCCTGCACTGTGAATGTTTACATGTTATGTGCAATTAAACCATGGCAACATCTAATGTTTGTGTAGTATTATGTTCAGCAGACTGTGTTCTTCTATTGTTGTGACTTAGATGACGTTCAGAGCACATTTTATGCCCAATTCATGCAAAATTCCACGTAATCCCAAGGGGTTCACATACTTTTTCTTGCAACTGTATACTATGTGCAGATTTCCTCTAAAGGTGTTGTTGTTTGCACCTATTGATTATACTATGGCTTTACTCATAGGTCTTTAGTAAAATTATACAACTGAGTATTTTGTCATCTCCTTGTTTTGGGACTATTTCTAAGTAGTTTTACATAGAACTGGTCCAATGGATCAACTACAGGGGTTTGACAAAAAAATGGAAAAAATACACGATTCACAGGTGTGAACGTGATGACATGTTTTGCGTTAAAAGCAGAAGTGATGTAACATTCTTTTGGTTCCACTGTGTGATGAGACACCTAGCTAACAGATGGGAAGCCTCACTTTCATCATTCACTGTATGTGCTGCTAGTACTACACAGTCACGTCAGAGCTTACTGAGCTTCAAAGACGGTAAATTGTTGGTGTCGCTTAGCTGGTGCCTCTGTGATTGAAGTTGCCAATTTATTTGCCATGTCGCGAATATAGTATCAAAGATTTTGACGGCATATACAGTTTCTAAGAAAACGTCGTCTGATAAGCATAAGTGCTGTCGAAATGGTCAACTGACCAATAGAGACAAAAGGACATTGTGCAGGATTGTGACCCAGAATAAGAAAACAACTGCTACTAAAGTGACTGCAGAGCTCAATCTCAGTCTTCACGGTTTGGTGAGATAGTTTACAAGCCAGTATTGGCTTGTAAACAACAAACCAAAAATGGAAGTGACAAAATCCTCATCACTTCCGGTTTCCTCCATTACAGAGGGGAGGCTGGTATGAATGTACCTTCCTCCCCACTCAGAGCACAAGCACAGCAAGTGGCGGTGGTAATGGGCAATCCTGTGTGAAAGGTGTCAGGCGTCAGCGGGGAGGAACTCCTTCCACACCCAGTAGTAGTGATCGAGTGGCTGTATAACCGCTAGGACCACTTCTATAGTAAAGCCTATCACCAGCCTAAAATGTTGATGCCAGGATGAGGCCTGCAGGTGCAAGCATCATCCCGGTATAACCACTTCATCCTGAGGACGTACAGGTACATCCTAAGTGGTTGAAGTGCTAAAGCAGAACTCCAAAAAATGATGCTGCGTTATCCCTGTAGAAGTGATGTGATTCATGACACAATGCCTTGGAAAGAAGCACGGTGACGTCATTTCCGGTCACAGATGGCAGCTGCTATCTTGGTATACCCAGTCCTATGCATATCATTGTACATGACTGTATGGGTCTGCAGACCCATTTTTAAGATGTGAGTAGTTTTTACCTGCTTTTATACATTAAAAAGAATGTATTACAGGATGGGAAGTTCCTTGTTGCTTATGTTTTGAGTATTGAGCTGAGTGGAAGGAGATTTTAAAGACGACACAGATGAGGAGATACTCAAGAGATCCGTTTGGAGATTCATCTATTAAAAGCGCATGAGACCTAAACTATATTGCCAAAAGTATTGGGCTACCTGCCTTTACACACAGATGAGCTTTAATGGCATCCCAGTCTTAGTCCATAGGGTCCAATATTGAGTTGGCCCATACTTTGCAGCTATAACAGCTTCAACTCTTCTGGGAAGACTGTGCACAAGGTTTAGGAGTGTGTCTATGGGAAGGTTTGACCATTCTTCTAGAAGCACATTTGTGAAGCCAGGCACTGATGTCGGATGAGAAGATCTGGCTCGCAGTCTCTACTCTAATTCTAATTGTTCTGTCGGGTTGAGGTCATGATTCTGTGCAGGCTAGTCAAGTTCCTCCACCCCAAACTTGCTCATCCATGTCTTCATGGACCTTGCTTTGTGCACTGGTGCGCAGTCATGTTGGAACAGGAAGGGGCCATCCCCAAACTGTTCCCACAAAGTTTGGAGCATGAAATTGTCCAAAATGTCTTGGTATGCTGACACCTTAAGAGTTCCCTTCACTGGAACTAAGGGGCCAAGCCCAACCCCTGAAAAACAACCCCACACCATAATCCCCCCTCCACCAATTCTTATACTTGGCACAATGCAGTCAGTCAAGTACCCTTCTCCTGGAAACCACAAAACCCAGACATGTCCATTGGATTGCCAGACGCATGATTCGTCACTCCATGTCTCCACTGCTCTAAGGTCTAATGGCAGCGTGCTTTATACCACTGCTTCGAATTGACTTGGTGATGTAAGGCTTGGATGCAGCTGCTCAACCATGAAAACCCATTCCATGAAGCTCTCTACACACTGTTGTTGTGCTAATCTGAAGGCCACACAAAGTTTGGAGGTCTTTAGCTATTGACTCTGCCAACAGTTATCGACTCCAGCACATTGTGTGCTTCAGCATGCGCTGACCCCACTCTGTCATTTTACGTGGCCTACCACTTGGTGGTTGAGTTGCTGTTGTTCCCAGTTACTTCTATTTTGTTACAATGCCACTAACAGTTGACCGTGGAATATTTAGTAGCCAGGAAATGTCACGGATGGACTTATTGCACAGGTGACAATCTATCACGGTACCACACTTGAATTCACTGAGCTCCTGAGAGAAACCCATTCTTTCACAAATGTTTGTAGAAGCAGTCTGCATGCCTAGGTTCTTGACTTTATACACTTGTGGCCATGGAGGCCTTGGAAAACATGAATCCAATGATTTGGAGGGTTGTCCCAGTATTTTTGGCAATATAGTGTATATAACCTATAGGTCAAATCTTAAGGTGCACGCTAGCTGGTGGAGGAGCACAAGTGGTGTTTATTTCACAGATGAAGATCACTGGTAGATTGATTTAAGATTGATGAGCTTCTTCACAATAGGCTGTTTGAAACCTTATTATATTTTGATATTTGTTTATGTATGCACTTTATTTATATGGTATTTAATTTAGAGCTAGGATTTATGAGTTATTGTGTGTAAATCTTACATTAGTATTAGTATTGAGAGCTGCTCAGTCGGCTGTTTACTTACATTTAATCTATTTAATTATTCACTTATTATTTATTTATCACTTATTTATCACTGTCGTTGATTGGTATTAATATTTAAAGCAGAGTTCCACTCAAAAGCGGAAGCTCCGCTTATTTGCCTCCTCCCCCCTCCACTGCCATTTGGCACCTTTTGGGGGGAGTGGGTACCTGGTTTTGACAGCTACCCGCTCCCACTTCCAGCTCAGTTCGCTGCGGCAAAATAAGCTGGAAGTTCGACCAGCTCCTCCCTCCCGCAGTCTCCTGGGAACTTTCACAGGTCCCAGGAGACTGCCGGACCAATTAGAAAGCGCAGCGCGACTCGCACATGCACAGTGGGCCGCAAGCTGTCACAGCCTGGTGTCCACAGTTCAGATGCTGGCGCCGTGGAGGAGAGAAGGGGAAAAGGGATGGCATGGGTGAGTACATCGCTGGACTCTGGGACAGGTGAGTGTTTGTTTATTACAAGTCAGCAGCAACAGTTTTTGTAGCTGCTGACTTTTAATAAAGACAAAACCGAGTGAAACTTCACATTGAGTGAGTAACCAGAATAATTTTTTAGTTTATTTTGATCTGGTATGTGAGAACACAATTAGGTGCTTGCAGCAACTCGTACTATTTGGGTAGGGTGTGGCACTGCATAAGGACATATTTATTTTATAAAGCAGAACTCCAGGTTTTTTTTAATTATTTTTAAATCCAAACCCCACCTTGTGTAAAAATTAAAAATCTACTTACCCATGCTACAGAGCTGTCTCCAGCCTCCTCCTTGCCCCAGCATCAGAAGTTCTTTTCTAGTAGAACAACAATTGTGTCATTCTGGCCATTTCCTGTGAGTCCAACTTGTTTTCTTGCCCATGTTTCACTTGACTGGTGTCTCTATGAACAGGTTATCTATCTGGTTGTAAAGAAACTAACAGAGGCAGGGGCAGACTGACCATTTGGAAACTCAGGCACTGCCCCAGTGCTCGGGGTCAGTAGGGGGCCCCATGAGATGCCCCTGGTACCTTTTTCATAGGCTTTTTTTAGTTTGGGCAAGGACACAGGGGCCCCATGATCCCCTATTGCCCGGGGGCCCCATGAGTTGTCAGTCCGCCCCTGAACAGAGGGTGCACAGGCCTAGTGCATTACCTTTTAAAAGATAATTTATTATGTAAATAAATGGTAATATACTCACAAAGGAACAAATATCAAGGGCACGTGGTATAAAGTACAGCAAGGTCCAGTCATACTGGATGATTTCCGTAATGGGACTTCTAGACCTCTAAATTGCTGCCACGTTTCGAGGACTTGCCTCTTCCTCAGAGCTGATAACTGTAATGCCAGTATCCTCTCTTATATATACTAGTACCCTGATGGTGGGTAATTGAGGATCCACCCTTGGGTAGGCAAATATATATATATATATATATATATATATATATATATATATATATAATGATAAAAATACATAAAAGAATATATAGATAAATAAATAAATACATAAATACAAATACATAAATACAAATTACAAACTTAACTATGTTTACCATTGGGTCCTTCGGGTCCACACACATGGGCATTTGATATGCTTGCTTTGCCCGCCCAAGGGTGGATCCTCAATTACCCACCATCAGGATACTAGTATATATAAGAGAGGATACTGGCATTACAGTTATCGGTTCTGAGGACGCGTCAGCATTTGGAGGTCTAGGAGTCCCATTACGGAAATCATCCTGTACGACTGGACCTTGCTGTACTTTATATGATGTGCCCTTGATATTTGTTCTTTTTTGAGTATATTACCATTAATTTACATAATAAATGATCTTATAAAGGGTAATGCACTAGGCCCGTGCGCCCTCTGTTTGTTTCTTTGCATGCAGTATTCTGGATCCCCCTAGTCCGTTGAGGGCAGCAAGGCATGCAGCTTCTAGGCATCCCACGTGTCGTTCAAACCTCTGTGGAGTCCATCCTCCAGCACAGGAGCATATGCTTATGCCATTCTTTGTCATATGTATCTGGTTGTGCCTATGCAGTACTGTTTGATAAAAAAAATGGGACGCCATCTTGAAACTCCCAGGAAGTACCACATGAATGCAGTTTACCCATGCAGGGGAGAGGAGGAGGCTGTATTTCAATGTGAGTAATTTCTGTATACAATTAAACGCCTGCAAGCTTGATCTACTACACTATGGAGGATCTCTTTTTTGCTCACTAATATGAAAGTGAGATTTCACAGAAATACTGCTTAAAGGACCCCAAAGGTCACAGAGGAGAAAAGGTGGAGGAGGCATAATAGGAGAACTAAGGAGGTTTACCAGACGGGATTGTTGAGGATCCAGGGTGATCCTGAAAGCTCTTTGGCCCCTAGGGGTCGTAGAAAGGAGGTGAGGAGGCACTGCAGCTGGAGTGGAAAAGTGTGTTGGCACTTACACGATTGAGCACTAATTGCACATTGCATGTGTATGCTGCGTCACTGAATTATTTATATTGGACTTATATATTTATGTGTTTGTTCATTTATGAGATTTGAAGTGGCACTATCACGTGATTTATGTTTGTTATCTTTATTCCAATATTATTTGTTGGCACATGTGTGGGGCACTAAGATGATTTGGTCACTTTAAGATGTGTTATATTTTTCACATTCTATATATTTTCATTTTTATGCTTTCATTATAAGTATTTCACATGTAGGTGTGTTTGGCTTTTTTAGCCCATGTAGCATTATTTATAGTGATTTAGTTTTTTAGCTCTGCACTATTGTTTAAAATTTAAAATTTATTATGCGGTACTGTTTGTGTCTCTGCGGATAGGTTTTAGCTTTATCAGTACAGTACTTATGTACTGATTGTATCTTTTTGGGCATGTTTCTAGGTGAGTCAATCCAATGCTGACTGCATCTTTGCAGGCATGTTTGTGGCAGCCTCATTGAAGTAGTTGTGTGATAGAGTGCTATCACTGTTCATTGACTGATAATGGCAGCCCTGGTTTGCAAGCAAAACAATTGTATAAAAATATATTTGAAGACATGAAGTCAATTGTAATCAACGTGTAGTGTTCTTATTGAGGTTTTCAATGCCAGACCCCACCCCTTTAGGCCACACCCACCCAGGTGATCTTATCTTGTAAGGGTGGCAACCAAATTCATAATCCATTCAGTTTTGTGAACTTGGTTTAGACATTCTTAGGGGTCCATTAATAACAGAGAGCAGACATAACCGTCCACTCACCATTATACTATGCAGAGGTGCAGCATGCCATGGTCTTCATTTGGTGGTATTCGATAAAATTGTCTCAGTTTAAAGTAGCAGAGAGAACTCTGTGAATGGAGTAGTGTTGGGTATGTGACTTTCACAGGTCATGTGACCAGACTTTCGTCCTGGCTTTTTTGTAACTACATTTTAATAGTATCCTACTGGCTTCAGAATCTCAAAGCCAATGGAGTTTAAGGCCACATGCACCAAGAACATTTAGCCCCCACTGCAAGAGGCTCCAATGTCTAGATGAAGGTGGATGGCACAGGTGCATCATCCAGCCCCGCTGCTGTAGTGGCTGAACAAATGGCCAGAAAGCAAGAAGTCTACTAAAGCTGAAGCAATTAATCCATAGTTAGGGCCTTTTTAAATCTTTGGTAGTATATTTTATTGTACCCAGTTTTAATATGCAGCCCTTTCCCCGAAGCCTCTGGAAATGTGCTGAGGTTCTTCCCTGTTGGATTGCCCAGCAGCCAGTCACATTAACAAAGTCACACTTTTCCTCAATAACCAGTCTAGGGGTGTTGTTTTTATTTTCAGAGAACTTGGGTAGGGTTCAGGGAATTGAGTGGAATACTCCAAAAACAGAAACTATGTACAAGTTGAGGACAGCAATCTCCTTTCTATAAAGTTGAAATTCTTGCATATAGTAAACTGTGGACTTGGCGTGTAATAGAAACAGTAAAAGCACACAAGCTTCTTTCTTTAGAGCAATAAGAGCAGAGTCCTTTCACAGAGAACCAGACAGACTAAGCTCTTCAGAACTTCATGTCCCCTTTAAACAACACACAGCTGACTCTCTAGCACAAGAGGGGTGGCAACAGTCCAAAAGTCTCTGTGACAGACTGCCTGGCACCCTGCCTGGGTGCTTCAGTCAGAGAACTGCTTACTCACCACTGGGACACAGGAGCAAAGTATTATAGTTGGGCATTGCACCCAAGAACTAGACGACACTAGCTTAAGTGCAACTGGAACTCTTTATTGAACAGAAATACAGGTTTTTATACACTTCAGAAATAGGGGCAGTCTCCACATGAACAATCCCACACTGATTAGATAACAGGGTAAAGCTGACAAAAGTCTAAGCCCATCATGTAGAAACCTCCAGGAGGACTAGCCAACAGGCAGAAACAATAGGTGACTCAATTTACTCAGTTAACAATGGGATAAAGACACAGTAAACACATCACATCTTAATAAACAGATTGCAGCAAGAGACCTCAGCATCAGGTTGTTTTGAACTGATTATATTAACATCTGCTCTGAGTCTCTGAGTCTAGGAGGGGGGTTGAAGCAGTCAATGGTGGTTTGGGCACAGGGACTCCAAATCTGTATCCTGGTCCTCCAGTTCTCAAAGTCTGTGTGTTTCAAGGACACATGGACTTGAATTTAAAGTAAAACTACTCCAAATGTCTCCCCAGGCACACACCTCCCAAAGAATAGAGCCCCCTCAGATGCCAGGGACCATGGTCAGTAGGCAAGAGACTAGCCTGCAGTCCCCTCCAAAAGCCCCTTTCCCAGTTGGGTCTGTCATAGTCTCTAAGATCTCTCACAGCAGTCTGAACTCACAAATGTCCAGCGAACGTTGGTTGCTTCCTTCCAGCATCAACGAGACACCTTTCTTTTGTGATCCCAAACTAGATGTTTAGCAGACAACCCTCAGTCAGCTCTCTGTAGCTTCAGTGTCCAGGAGAACATAGAGCAGCAGCCCTCCAAGCTGGACTGATCCTCAGCAGGAAGAGATCCAGAAGTCCAGTGTGTCAGGGTATTTATTCAGTTAACCAGAAATCTTCAGGGCCTTACTCTCTGGGATTGGCTAGGGCTGCTTAAGTATTCATTCTGTCTTCTGCATAGCCCCACACCTATGTTCCAGAAAATTCTACCATTCTCTGGAAGCAGAGGGAGCCATCAGACTAGCAGCAACTGAAAACACTGAGGAAACCTTAATCAGCTACACTGGATACAGTGAGCACAGCTGGAATTTACCTAACCAAAAACACACACAGCTTCACTGAACACAGTGAGCCAGCACTAAATCTAACTAATCCTAGCACCTATCTGGGAGGGTGCTACAAATATGTCCAATGAATAAAGCCAAAGCATATATTACACTTCCATTAAGACTGAGCACACTGGCTCACAAATAGCATAGAGTAAAGATAAACTTTGTGTCTTAAAACACCAATGAGCTCCCCAGGCAAAGACCAACAGTTCAGGTTCAGAACTCAAAAAAACAGAAACTAGAGTGAAGTGAATTAGGACACCAGTCCCTTTAAGTCAATCATTTGTGTGCCAACACCACCTGTTAGGGACCTGCTGGTGGTAGCCTCTAGCGTTCCACAGACCGAAATTCCCCAAGGTGTGGAATCTAAGCCCTGACCAGCTTGTTCACCAGGGCCCCTGATGGTGGGGATGGACTTGGAGCAGGCCGAAACCAGGTCGCGGCCCCTGGGTGCACCCAGCTACGGTAGAAGCGCTTGCCGGAGGTGTATAGCAGGTGAGAGCCTGATGTAAGGAGGTAGAAAGAGCAGAGTCGGGCAGGCCGGGTCGGTAGCGGTGGAGGCAGCACGGTACAAAACAGTAGACAGAAGGATAAACGGGTCACAAGCCGGGTTCGGTAACAGAAGATCAAAACGTGTGGGAAAAGACAGGAGGATGGTCAGGCAAGCCAAGGTTCAGAGCAGGAGACAATCAGCACATCAAAGGTCAGGCAGAGTCGCAACAAAGCAATCTAATCTCAGGAACACAGGATACAGGTAAGACCATAGGGCAATTAGAGCACAGACCTGACCTGTTTTAAATAGGGCCCTGATTGGTGGCAGGCACGCATCCGCGATTGTGAGCACACATGCGCAAGCGCCGCTGCCATCGCGGGTGCCCAGGTCCCAAAGCTCGCACGCTAGTGCGGCCGGGCACACCACGCATGCGCAAACCCGTGCGCGATCGCGGCCAGATCTGGGGTCCCTGACACCACCACTGATACATTTCAGGGCCAAATGTGCCAATGCCACCATGAAACCTTTTCAGGGCCAAGGTGCCAACACCCCCCTGATACATTTCAGGGCAGAGTGCGCCAAAACCATCATTGATACATTTCAGGGTCTAGAGTGCCAACGTCACCACTGATACATTTTAGGGTGGAGTGTGCCGACACCACCACTGACACATTTCAGGGCCAATTGTGCGTGCTAACACCACCATGAAAACTTTTCAGGGCCAAGTGTGCCAACACCACTGATACATTTCTGTTTCAATGTTTTTATTGTTACACGGGGGTTGTAGATGTCTGGGGGGTAGCGTTCAGAAGGGAGGAGGATCATGCCTGTGACAAGGGCCAAGTGTGCCAACCAATATATTTCAGTCCTGAGTGTGCCAATACCACCACTGATACATTTTAAGGACAAATGTTACAACATCACCACTGATACATTTCAGGACCAAGTGTTCCAACAACACCACCACAGATACATTTCAGGGCTAAAGGTGCCAACACCACCACTGGTACATTTCAGGGCTAAAGGTGCCAACACCACCACTGGTACATTTCAGGGCTAAAGGTGCCAACACCACCACTGGTACATTTCAGGGCTGAAGGGCCAACACCACCAGTGATACATTTCAGGGCTAAAGGTGCCAACATTACCACTGGTATATTTCAAGGCTGCATGTGCCAATATCACCACTGAAACATTTCAGGGCCAAGTGTGCCAGCAACACCTTTGATACATTTTAGGGCCAATTGTGTCAACACCCCCATTTATACATTTCAAGGACGTGTGTGTCAACACCAGGGCCACACCTCTACTGTATATTAGAATTGCAGTGGTGAATTCCAGCTGTGAGCAATACAGGTGCCATCTTGAATGTTCATGTGTCTGCCAGACACTATTTATTTTATAATGTCCAAGACTCAGTAAAGCAGCTGTCTGGCAACCTCTGGAGAATTTTCTCCTTAACTACACTTACAAATTATAAGTTAATTACATTTTGTTTGTTATTAACCACATGCAATACTTCACTTCAAAATTAAATTGAGCAGTAATAACATAACAGCAAGCTGAATTTCCGAGCTGGAGTTTTATATATAGTAGTTTTATAAGCCGAGGTAACAAGGTTTAGGTTAGGTTTCCATAGCAAAATAAATATTTAGTTTATCCAATAAAGATTTAGTTACCCCAGGCTGGACGTACAATTACTTTCCAAAGTCAACTAGGTTATTGGATTATTACAATATAATACAATAAAGCTTACCAGAATTAACTTTATTTATAACTCAATTTTATTATTAGGCATAATTCATTTATGTTTGCTAACCTTTAGATAACCATAAATATATAATGTAAAGAGGAAATACATTCCAAACAACAAGTTATAAAAACAATAATATTCCATGAATCTTTTAATATTCCATTAAAGGAACTGTCCACTTTTAGACCACTTCCTCATTTATAATTTTCTTCTGCTTAGCCTGAAGATAAATAGATGTTTTATAGGATTTTTTTTTAAGTAGAATAAGTATTCATTGTGGTTTCAGCATGCATTAAAATATCATTTGCAACACTTTTGCATAAGTCTGTT